TCCTCAGCTTTGTATTTCTGGGAATCTGTAACTCATTCACTTCTGAATGACAACGTTGCCAGGTGTAGTAGTCTTGGTTCGCAGTTACTTTTTTCCAGAGCTCTGAATACGTATCACCTACGGCCTGTAAGGTTTCTGCCGATGAACCTGTGAAGGCTCCCTTGTACTGCTTGAGATTCTTTGCCCTTTGAGCTTGGTTACGTGTCTGTGTCTCTGCATGCTTGGTATGGGCGTTCATACCCACACCGAGATCTGGGTAGTTTTCAGACATGATTTCTTGGATAAGCTGTCTTTGTCTCCCTTCTGTCTGTAATTCACGTATTTCTAGGCTCCCACAAAGGCTTGTCCTAATAATCATGGCCTCTATTTCTACATTCCTCTGTGAATATACAGAACCGTTATTCTACAAGACATCGGCCCCATTATCGAAAGTTCTCAGGATGCTGGACCTGGTGGTGAGTTGTGTGCTATGTTGTAATTTTGGAAATTCGAGCACATGACATAGGGGCTTTGTGATTCACTTCCCTTGTGAACCTCACTCTGCTTCACAGTGGGCGAGTCCTCTAAGTACTTTTACACTTGTTCTTTATCCACTGTCACCAGCCGCCGATTCTTCATGGGGGACATTTTTTTTTCTTCAGAGTCCTGGGCAGCAGCGTAAGTTTTCATGGCCTCTCACAGAAAACTTTGTTGATTTCTTGGCTACCTCAGGTCTGCTCTACCCATCACACCTGAGCCTCCATCTTGAGTGGTATTTCTGCATCAATACACTACTCCCCTTTATCCACTGTGTCCTCTTGGGGTTTCCATTTTCTTTTTCTTTCTTTTTGTGGTACTGGGGTTTGAACTCATGGCTTTGCACTTGCCAGGCAGGCAGTCTACCGCTTGAGCTACACTTCCAGCCCTTTTTGCATTGGTTACTTTTGAGATAGATTTTCATGTTCTGGCCTGGACTGTGATCCTGTTTGTGCTTCCCACCTAGCTGGGGTGACAGGCACACCACCACACCCAGTTTGCCATTGGTTGAACTAGTTTCCATTTTCTTTTTGCTTTTTTCTTCCATTCCTTCCCTCTCCCTTCTTAAAAGCACACGAGATTTATCTTTGATCTGTGATAGGTATTGTGAAAAAACTAATTGCCCCCAGCACTTTGACATGTTTGTGAGGAAAGGGGTTCATTTTAGCAGTTTGCTGTGTTCTGTGACTAAAACTCTTCCTGCCACAGTTGAACGGGTTGCCTGGTTGATACTTTGTATTTTGAAATCTTCCAAGTTTTGGCCATTTCTGTGTTTTTCCAGATGGGGTTTTAAAATAGGTTTGCCTAGAGACCATGAGGGCTTCTGCTCACTTCAGGCCATATGAAGGAGGGAAATGTTGGTTTCACTTCTTGGGGTGAGTCCCCATCAGGGAGGGGTCTTTGTACATAAAGGGAATGTCTACTGGGCAGTGACTATTCCAGGTCCTCACCTTGCAGCCCTGGGGTCCCAGTGAAGCTTGCAGGGACACTGTCTCATTCCACCCCAGACAAGCAGCCCTGATGCTGGGGTCTCTGATAGGCTACAGACTGTGCCAGTGTCACCTCCCTTACATTCTAACCCCATTCTTTGAAGGCTCTGATCTTGTCACCTGCCTTTAGTTTCCATGATTATAGTAGTGACAGAAATGAGGGAAGTTGGACACAGAAGTAGGAATCAGCTGTTACCCTGAATGGAGGGAGCACTTAGGTCCCAAATGGTGTTTCCTCACAGAGGGCCTTGTCCCTGGATAAAAAATACTTTGGGCCAACTGGAAGCAGCAGTGTGAGTCGATGTATGTGCATCCATGTGCATATGACAGACACGACGCTGGCCTGGCAGGACTGCCTACAGGTGACGTGGCATGTGCAGGGGAGGATACCAAGGTGCCGGCTGCTCTCTGCCCATCAGTGTGCACAGGTCAGGACATCTGTGGCTTTCTGAGTTCACATGAGGAACCAAGAGAGCCTGAGAGCTAGTGATGGCAGGGAGGCGCCTCTTTCTGTCCATCCTCTCGGGGAAGCACTGCAGTGAAGTGGGCAGGGCAGGACTTGTGAGCTAGAGTCACCTGGGGTTGGCCCAGGTAGGCAAGGCTGTGAGAGCAGCCAAGCTCATCCACGCAGCTAGTCTCCTCCTGCTCCTGGCTGTCTCATCTGTGTGCTTCTTTCCCTGAGAGGGAAGATATATTCCTTCCAGCTCACAGAGCCTGCAGACACAGCAGAGCCAGGTGGTGTTCAGACTGACATCTTGACATTGCTGGATGTGTCTATTCTACCAATAGCCACCAGTGAGCATCAAGAACCCACGTCTCCACTGAGCTCCTCCACCCAGGCTGGCCACCAAGGGAGAGAAGCCTGTACCCATTGCCACCTCCCAGGGTAGGAGCTCAGGTGTGCAGGGGAGGTGGAAGGCAGGGCAAGACTGCTGAGGCTGTCTGGGGCTGGGCCACTTGACAGCAGAGCTTTCTGGGGCAGGGAGATGAGGATGCTGATGCTTCTGGGGTCTGGCCACTTATGGTGTCTCTGGAGAGGTGCGTGCTGTGCCCCTTAGAGAAGCTCCCCTCCTGGAGCTGTTTGGAGTGAACCTTGGTATGCCGCCTGGCTGAACAGAGGAGGCTCTGTGACCTGTGCTCACACAGGCCCAGCCTGTAAGCACTCCAGGGCCCATGCTGGAAAAGCTGCGAAGTGTTTGCCAGGCACCCCAATGTGAGCTGCAACTTCCAGATAAAGTAGCCCACTAGTGGCACGTGTCCAGGAGAGCAGGGCTTCTTTGAGTGCCACGGTGTTAGCTTCCCAGCCATGGAGGCCGGGCCTTGCATGCCTGCACAGGGACAGAGTACCACTTGTGCAAGGTTGTGTTGGCCCTGCATGATTAAGGATTATGCAGGATCCTCTACGTGGGGGACAGATTGAACCATGAGAGCATCCCACCAGACAATGCTGGTCCCTACACTTCGGTCTCCTGGGCATCTGAGGCCACCTGGCAGGAACCAGAGCCTTCCTGGGGGTTGGAGGGTTCAATTCCATGCACTCAGAAGAGGTGTACAGGAGAGGTGGAAGGCAGGGCAAGACTGCTGAGGCTGTCTGGCCCTCCATGTTCTGACTTCCTTCTATGCACCCTGAAGGGAACTTGGTCAAGGACAGACTAATGAGCCATGCTCAGTGGACATCCACACATGGCAGTCTTGGGGGCCATACCAAGGGTGCAACCCATGCTTGAGCCCTACCCCAAAGCCCAAGTTTTCACCCTCCTTTGCACAGCCATGGGTGCACACTCACATGCATGCTGGGGCTGCAGGAGGCATGGTCAGAGTTACAAGAGGGCTTGTCCTGCAGATCTCCCGCCTTTTATTCATACAAGGACTCCAAGAACACATGTCACTCACTGGTACTGAGTGGCAGGGGGCCTCACAGAGGAAGGATGTAGCAGGCTTGGCCACTGCCCTGACCAGTGACCAGTCCAGGCTGCCTCCTCCAGAGAAGCATGTGGAGCGATAAGAGTGCCACCGCTGGCTGCCACATGATCCAGTGCTGCTGTCCTGGCACCTGGACACTCACATCCCAGAGCCCAAGTCGGGTTCCTACTGCCCCAACCTGGGTAGCAGTAGCAGGGCTATCAGGGCCTGTGCCCATCGTGTCCAAGGACCAACTTCAGAGAACACCTGCCCCATGCCAGGGAACCTGACTAACCACCTGGGTCCACTGTGCTGGTGGACGCTGTACTGACAGCCAGCCTCCCTAACTCACTGACTAACAAAGCAAAGAAGCATTAAGCTGTTCCTGACCACGGCAGCTCAGCATCCCTCAGACCCTGGAGGGTTCCTTTTCCACAGTTCCCCACCCAGAGCTTGCCTGCAGCTGTGCCCAGGAGGGAAGTGGGGCCCTACAGTCACAGAAGGGCACAAGAATCCACGTGGGGTCCTGGCCCCTCCAGTGCCGTTGGGGGAAACTGAGCAGTAGCCCTCAGTTTCATAAGAAACTGTTTCATAAGACAGGGAGTCTTATGAAGGTGAGCATCTGGAAAAGCCCTTGGCTATCAATGGTACCCCAGCCCCCTGCAACTTGGCCAGGGCAGGAAGGGGATGGAGCACCCCCCTGACCTGCAGTGCTGGGTCTCACTGGCCCTGAGCCTTAGTATCACCAGCCACCCAGCATCCCTGTGGTCAGGTGACAGCGTCAGGCACTCCAAGCCCTGGCATATGTCACCTGTCTAGGTAGGACAGGGGCTAGGAGTGGCTACTCCCCAGAAGCGAGGTTCCTTGTGTAGACCTGGACCCTGCAAGGCTTGCCTCTGTGAGCTCGGGTGTGAGGGGGCAGCCCCCATCTGCAGCATCAGATGTTGGAGATGGTACTCCACCCTCAACAAAAGCATGGCAGCACAGAGCCTGGTGTGGCCATGCCAGCTGCCACTTGGTCTGTGCATCACACGGAGGAACCCCTCACGGTGGGTTTTCTGTGAAGATCACATCCACTGGAGCTCTATGGTGGCACGAGGGTGGGGTCCTAGCTTTGGAGCCCCTGCAGAGTGGAAGGTATCATGCATAAACTCAAAGGTCCTGTTGGAACCTGCATGGGGACACCCCAATGCCGTTGCAGGCTTCACAGAGGGCTGCAGGGTGGGCCTCGCTTTCTGACACCTGAAGCTGGTGGGGAGCCCCAGCGGGAGGCAGGAGAAGAAGGCACAGGCTCATTCGAGGCCCCAGATGGTGGGATTTCTGACAGCTGTCCCTCTGTGGGCCTCAGTGGGCTGCTTCTGCAGTGCTGCAGGAGCTGGGGGGAGTGGGTGGCAGCCAGACATGCCCCTGAGGTCCCTGAAACACATGGCTTTTGGGGACACTGGCTCCCAGCTGACCTGAGGACCTCATACAAAATTAAAAGCCAGAGAGGCAGGCAAGACCAGACCTAGGAGGCCAGGGCCCCACACACCCACCCAGCACACAGAGCCACTGTTCCCCTCCATCCTGCCCTGGGTCTCTGCAGGTCAAAGGGAATTAAATATCGCCTGTTTCTTGTGTTGGCAAAGTCAGTCCTTGGCCTTAGTCCTTGGGGCCGTGGGGCAGTTACCGCCACCGGGGCCTGGCCACTGTGAGGACCAGGGTAAGGAGGAAGAGCAGAAGGAAGGCGCGGGGCTGGGAGCAGCAGGCAGCTGAGGTCTTCTGTCCCTCCTGCTCTGACAGGCCAGGGAGGGCGTGGGTCAGGGGTGTCCGAGAGCTGGAGCTCTTCTTGCTGACCCTCCGGCCGCAGATGTCATCTGGACAGCCATCACCACTGCCTGAGCCACTGCCATCGTCACCTGGGGAAGACAGGAGGCTCCAGCAGGCCCATTTCTACCCAGGGATACTGAGTGCTAGGTGACCCCAATTTCCTCCTCCGGCGGGAGTCCAGGTCCAGCTGTGCTCTGGTCACAGCAGCCTAACCTGGAGTGAGCCTGGAGACTTGTATTCCCTGGGTCTGCCCCTCGATGTCCCACCTGATGGACTTCCTGCCAGGGCTTAATGGTACTGCTTTATGTCCACATCTCAAACAGCAGCAGCCACGCCCGGACAGTGCCAGTGAGAGCACAGGGCTAAGGCCCCCTGGGGCGGGGTTGTCTGCAGAGCCCCATGCCTGTCCTTTGCTGTCAGACCTGGCACAGATCCCATGGTTCTCAACACCTTCAAGACCCCCTCCCTGCCCCAGCCTGGCAGGCTCTCACTGGCGTCCTGGAAGTCCACATCGCTGCCACCATAGGCACCACGCAGCCGGTTGGTCATGATCTTCAGCTGCATAATCTGCTGCCGGATGGTCATGTCAGGCTTGGTGATGTCCACCTCCACCTCGGGGTTGTTGATCTGGTTGGCCAGGCCATCACCCATCACCTCAGGTAGGTACCTGGGGGCGAGAAATGACAGAGCCCCATGTCACTGTGCTGGCCCTTGTAAAAGACCCAGCTCTAGTAGGACTCATCCCTACCACCCCCAAAGTCCAAGATTCCCAGCCTGAGATACCCCAGTGTGAGCCAACGGCAGGCGCCACAGTGGAGTCCCTCAAATATAGTGCATGCCCTGGCAAGCTGGCCCAGTGGAGGGTGTGGTCCTGTCCCCAGCTCCGGGTAGGACTTGGCCAGTCAGGCACCTACCGGCCCTTGGCCATCCCATTCCAGCAGCGGTCATCACTGGCAGAGCTCATGGCCATCCCCTCACTGCACAGTGTCCCTGGGAGGCTGATCCAGAAGTCCTGGACGTCACGGAGCTGTGCCTTGGCCTCAGAGACCTGTCAGACAGCAGTCAGTCAGGCCACTGGGCAGCCTGGGACCAGACTGCCTGCCTTTCCTGTCCTCCCCACACATAGGTGTGACATGGCCAGAGGAATGGTTGAGGGTCACTCACCAGCTTCTCCAGTGTGCCTGTGGGTGGCTTCTCCTGCAGGGCCAGCTTGCCCCGGCGCCGCTTCTCCTCAGACCCAGTGCCCTGGGGATTGACCTTGGGGTTCCCACAGCCCTGGATGACCTGGAGAGACAGCACAGGGGTCCTGGAGGAGCAGCAGGGTTCTTCACTACCAGGTGGGGCCATATCCGGGATACCCCCTCCCGTGCTCACCATGCCCTCCGCCCAAACCTTGGCTGTGAGCGTGTCTTTGTTGTCCAGGAGGGCGTTGATGGCCTCTGCAAGCCACATGTGCACGCTGCCGATGACACTCTCTGCACCCGATGGGCCCCAGAACTTGTCGGTGATGAGCACCATGGAATCTGGCACAGTGTTAACACACACGTCACACGTCACACGTCATGTTAATGATGCGTACTCTTGACAGTGCCAGTCAAAGGCACAGATCAGCAGGGGGCGCCACACATTTCAGCTGGACCAGCATATTCTCATATGTGCAAGCCGTAGCACTCAGTGACACGGTACATACCTGTGTACACGTGTGTGCTCACGGGCAGAGGTTCGCATGAGCACACACAGGACACTTTGCAACAACTGTGAGCTTCGCTTATGCCTAAGTTAGCTCATGCAGGTGTAGACACATATGCACACGGTCCCCCCATGGGTCAGTCCACGTACGTGTTAGCTCACCTGAACTGGTACGCATGTACGTGGGTTTGCCTGTGCCAGCCAACATACACATTAGCTCCGTGTGTCTGCAGGTGTGGACCTCACCGTGTGTTATAAAGCTTACACATATCGCTAAGTTTTCTCAGTGGCTCACACCTGTCAGCACAGGTACACCAGCACAGGTGTACCAGCCCAGGGTGTCCACCTGTGACTTTCAGATGTTAGCATATAAGCATGCTGACCCAGCACACTACTCATTAGTGTGCATGCTGGCACATGCCACACACACCCATGCAAAGCAGGAAAACCATGTGCACACATGCTGGCCACTGTGTGCAGCACACGTACATGTCAGCTTGCACATGTGCCAGCTCCCACATTGGTGCACATAGGTGTTAGCTTATGCGTGTGCTGGCCCGCCATATGTCACACCTGTGTTGGCATGTGTGCATTTTGGGGCACTCGCTCAGTGGGGCAACACAAGGAACTCTGATCCCACAGTTCCCCTATGGTAACTGTTCCAAGTCACACACTACTTGGGACACTGAAGGGGAATCCCCTTCCCTCAATCCCACACCCGTATCCACACCCAGACCGGCTCTGCCCTCGCAGGCCCATAGGTTTGGCCCCTGAGCCAGGGATCACCTGCCTACCAGGACCCCCGTGGGGCGTTCCCAAGGACAGGCTGGGTACTCTGGGGGTGGGGCTCACCCAGAAGGTTCCTCCACTCGGCATCCAGGTCGGCCTGGTTGGCAAGGCAGCCCTTCAGCACGTTTTGGCAATAGTCGGGGCAAGGCCGGGCTCCGGGGACCCCCAGGCAGTGAGCACAGTAGACCAGCTTCATGACAGCCCGTGAGCACTCTGGACCCAGGGGCACCTGGGGAGTGAAGCCAGGCTGAGCCCACCTGGCAGCCTGTGTACCACGGCCCCCTGACCAATCCCTAAAGGAGCCCCAGTAAGGAAGAGGGCTCTGGATGAAAGTCAGAGGACACCTCTGCTCTGCCCCAACTCCCAGTCCTCTTTGGACCCCGCAGTCCTAGAGTCCGCTAGTGATCACTGTCACTCCCTAGCACAAGGGTCACTAACCCTCGCTGGGAAGCCAGGATCTCTCCACCAGGCGATGAGGAAACTGGGGCCCAGGGTGTGGGGGCCCGGGGACCTGGCTGGAGGTGGGGTAACACATCCAGGGCCGTGCGAGTCTGTAGTCAGTGCCCACCACCCACCCACACAGCCTTCCCGAGGTGGGTCTGGGGTGTGCTGCCACAGAGAGGTGCGCTGTCTGCCAGGCCTCAGGAGCCCGTCTGTGCAAGCCTCAAGCACATCACCTTCTTCTATCTCCCGTCTCCTGATCCCCGCATCCGGACTCCACATCCAGCCCCAGGCCTACTGCCACCACCCCCCATCCTGCCCAGGACAGGACAGCCTGGCAGAGGATGGGACTGGACAGCAGGCTGCTAGCAGTTTATGCAGAGGGGTTGAAATGGGGTGGGGGGAGGCAAGGGCAGGAGACTCAGGGGAAAAGAGGGCTGAGTCTGGGGGGCAGAGGGTCTTGGGCAATGTGCGTACCTGGGCCACTTTCCGTACCACATCGCTGGCCACGCCCAGGCCTTGTACGAAGGAGCGAGCAGCCACAAAGGCGCGGGTAGCCCGCAGGCGCAGCTCACGTGGGCTGTCCCCAAAGGGCCGCAGCGCCTCGGCCTGCTTGCCCAGGCAGTCCAGGTAGTCGTCGGGCAGCAAGAGCTGCGGATGCAGTTGTCTGAAGAGGCGCTCCAGCAGCCGGGCCCAGAACTCAGCCAGGGTTTCCTCCAGGTGCAGGTTGGCACCGCGGTAGTACAGGCGCAGCTCGGTGTACAGGTCCCGGAAGGCCCGGGCGTTCTGAGTGTACAGCTCCCCGAAGGCACCGGGGAAGGCATCCTGCAGCTCGCGCTCCGAGTCGTTCAGCAAGCGCTGAAAGTGGTCTGCACACAGGCGGGGGTGTGAGGCCTTCAGGGCCCTGCCTCTCCACCCCACCCGGATGCAGGGAGACCCGCTGCTCTTCCGAATCTGCTGGTGTGGTCATCAAAGCGGGGTGCCAGGCTGCACAGGCTGTATTGGCCCCATGCAGCTCCACAGGTCCCAGAGAGCTCACCCTACTGGCAGAAGTGCATGGCCCCTGTGTGTGTGTGTGTGTGTGTGTGTGTGTGTGTGTCCTCTAGGGCCCCTGTGTGTGTGTGTGTGTGTGTGTCCTCTAGGGCCCCTGTGTGTGTGTGTGTGTGTGTGTGTCCTCTAGGGCCCGTGTGTGTGTGTGTCCTCTAGGGCCCCTGTGGCCCTAGAGCTCCAGAGGCCATTTCTGTCTGGGCAGCAAACAGAAATGTCACTCAGTGACTCCTGGGTGGGACTGATAGTGGGGATGGAGGGGGGAGGGGCTAGAATGACCCTTGTCTCACCCACCTGTCTCTGCATTCCCTGTTGCCCAAGCTACCCCACCTGTCTGCATCTGCCCCTCCTCTGCTGTTGTCCAGGCTTCCTGCCCCTCCCTCCCTTTGTTGCTCCAAGATCCAGGAGCCTCTGCTCTCAGCACCCCAGCCTGTAGTCCAGAACCTCAGATGGACGCCACCTGGCAGGGGAGGGGGCCGGGTGTGAGCACGGACCCTAAGGTTTGGGAAAATGTGCAATCTGCGACTGCTCAGACCCTCAGGAGCTGTGGCTACCCTCCCCCCACAACAGGCACAGGGGATGGTTTAGCTCCAAGTGTCATCATCGAAGGCGTGGGGGCGGGGCTGTAGGTGAGGCCCATGAGCCACTAATGAGCCGAAACCCAGCAGCCATGTGGAAAGGGACTTGGAGGCTCCCCGGGCTACCTGTCCCCAGGGACCAGCTGACATTTCCTGGGAGCCCTGGAAGCCAGACTGCTGTGGTCAGGTGTCCAGGAGCTGGAGGGCAGGGATGCTAAGAAGACAACCCCAGAGTCTCTGGTGGAAGCCACTGTTGGTATTTCCAAACTGTCCCCCAAGAACACACTGGGCATGCAGCCAGCCTCAGGGTACCCACACTCCAACTGCTCAGGCTCACTGACCCTGTCCTCTCCGTCCACCCTGCTGCAGGCACAGCACCTCTATCCAGGCAGAAATCTTGAGCTTACTATCTCAGCTCATAGGTCACTTTCTGGGGAACACCCTTGACCCTAGGGCACCACATCATCTCTTCAGAGGTACCTTGTGAGGGTCATTATGTCACCCCACCATTGGCTGTTTAGGGCTGCTGTTCTCTGCCCAGATGCAGTGATGCTCAGCAAGGGGCTGATGAACAAACAGCCCCAACAACACAAGCTGATCCAGCCTCTTGAGCACAGGGGGCTCTCCAACCCAGGGCCTCCCGACTTTGTTCTGGCTCTGGCAATAAAGGACAAGGAGCTACTCGGAGGACAGAGGTCCCCTTGAGGGGCTGGATAATGGAACGGACAGGCTTTTCTCCTCAAAGGTGCACTTGCGTTAGGCTCTACACACCCACAGGTGGACATGGATGACGTGGGGCTCACGTATCTCCTATTCAGGCCCCTGCAGGAGGACAGCCCTTCTGACAGTAACGGCCCAAATCCCAGCACCTCCACCGCTCCCATCACAACCTCATCGGGGGGGCTTGAGTGCCCACTTCCCCCCACTTCTCACCATCCACGCCACGCAGCTGAGTAGCCAGCATGGCCTGCAGGGCACGACTGCTGTCGCGGAGTGCGGTCTCCAGCTCAGCTCGGCTGCGATTGGCCAGGTTCTCCTCCATCTCACTGGTGCAGCAGGTGTACCCTTGGGGGCAGATCCGCAGGTGCTCACCTGTGGGGAGGGGTGGCATGAGGGAGGAGGAGGGGCCCAGGAGAACTGGCTCCACAGACCTCCTGGACTGGACAGTGGAGCCGGGATGTGCCACTCCAGGATGGGGCTCAATTCAGGCTTGGGGCCCTGGGTGAAGTCAGGAATGAGGGATGAGTGTGGCTCTGCCTGGCTCCTGTCCCAAACACCCAGGGGTGTCATGCAGTGTGTCCCTGTGGCACATGAAAGGGTCCCAAGCAAAGAACTAGTCTGGGGGCTCTGTGAGGTGGGGGTGGGAAGGTACCAGGCTCATCGATGAAGACGGGGAGGACGAAGGGATCCAGGCTTCCTGTCCCCTCTCACCAGTACATGGGAGGGGTGCACTAAGGTCCATAATACGAGGACAGTGGGGTACCCGGTGGGGACAGTTCTCCACTGGCCAGAGGCAGCAACTCCACCAGACCCTGGGTAGAAGTCTGGGGGTGGGGTGGGGACAAACTCGCTTTGGTTCAGATGTGGGCCTTGAGGCCAGCCAGACACACCCTGTGTTCTCAGTGTCCGTGTGCAGCCCCCTCCTTCTTTTGCCCTGTCGCAGGCTGCCCTGCTTGGGTGTCAGCTCTAGGCAGCATTACGGCGGCGGTGCATCCAAGCCAACCTCGCTTCCCCACGGGGACGGAGCGCAGACTTTGGGTCCACACTAGGCCCTACGGCCCACCCTGTGGAGCCTTGAGAACATGCACTAGGCAGCTTAATACCTGGGATGGGTGCCTGGCATTAGAGGAAACCCGTGATGCAAGAGGTAGTAACCCCACTAGGGCAAGGCAGACCAGGGAACTGAGGCTCATGGAGAGCGGACCTCTTGTCCCAGTCAAGTCACTGAGCTGCTCAGGCCCCAACACCCAGCTGTTCTAGGCACCCTTGGCCCGTCCATCCTTTCATCACAGGCCTGGAGGAGGGAGCGCTCCCTGGGGATGGCCTGGGTCAGGCATACATGAGAGGTGGGGCAGAGGTCTGGCTGGACAGAGGGGCCCAGGCTGAAGATGTGGTCAGCAGGGATCCCAGAAACGTTCTTTAATGATAATCCAGGAGCAGGGCTGACGCCGAGGGCCAGAACCACGGTGCGAGAAGCAGTGGCAAGACTGGGCCTGTCCCTCGCGCTTACCCTTCCTGACTGGGGTTAACGGGAAGGCAGGGGAGGGCTGAGCCCCCTGTGTAGGCCTGGGAATGGGAGAGGAGAGATGCTGGGGCCTGCTTGTTCACCAGGAGTGGAGGGCTCTGAGACGGCCCAGAGAGACAGGTCAGCAGCACACCGGGAAGGAATACCCAGAAGGGGCAAAGAGACCTAGAGTTCTTGGGCAGCCTCTGGCCACAGGAGCTCCCACTCCCCTGGCCTGAGCTCCAGAAGTCAGTTCCCACCTGAAGCTAGCTGGGCGTAGAGACCCAAGACTCAGTAACTATCACGAGGCTGGATTCTGCAGACAGAGCCTGCCGCAGGACTGCAGGACCAGACCTCTTTGAGCGTCTTTGTCTTTTGTACGCCACAAGCTCAAGTGTGTGGAGATGTTGTGGGGTGACCTATCCGGCCTCTATGTTCTTGACCTGACATGGAGGTGTGCGCCCAGGTGCTGGGGAGGCCTAGAGACGGCGGGGGGTGGGGTGGCTGTTGCACACTTGGGTGGGACTGGAGGTAGGTGTCCGATGGACCTGAGGGAGTGACCCCTCATGACAAGGATGGGGCGTGGGAGGGTGAGGCAGGACACCCCTCCCACAGGGAAGTCTCTGGCCCTCTCGTGTCTCAAGCTGGGATCTCAGCCTGGAGGGCTCCATGTGCTGTTCAGAGGCAAAGGGCCTGTGGCCTCACCCAGGCCCCCATGGCAGGGAACCTCTGCCTCACAGCCATCTGGACTCTTGGTCCCCAAGGGCCCACAGAGGCGGGGAGAGGCCATGGCTGATGAGAAACAGGAGGAAGTGGCTGAAAGTTACCTGAAGATGGGGTCAAGAGGAAGGGAGCTACTGTGTGAGGTGTACTAGACAGGCTGGAGGTGAGGGAGGTGCACACTGACCCTCCGTGTCCTTTGCTCCCACGTCCTCCCTCCTCTTGCCCAGGATGCCTGCCCCTCACAGGGGTTGCAGGTCCTGGGAACCAGGAGGCAGCTGTGACCAACCTAGGACAGGGCTGACCTGGGGCTGACAGAGCTGAGAGCTGCAAGCCTGGTACAGAAGACACTTCCTTCCCCCAGGCCCCCCAGTCTTTGTCTGTCCCCTTCCTTCTTGGGTAGGGAGGGTTGGGACACAAGGACAGCCAGGCAGCCACCCTTTTCTCTGCAGCTTAAATGCTGATGCAACAGGGTTGTGGTCTGCCCAGCAGAGGGCAGCACTCAAAGCAGGACCTGCCCCCTTGTCGTCCTCCAGGCCATGGCCAAGTGGGGCTGAGCCAGCGTAGCACATGTCTGTGTGATGGGGTCATGTCTACCTAAGAGGGGGTCACAGGGAGCACCCCATTGGCGGGTGGTGGTGGGGAATGTGCCTTGGGAAGAGGCTGCAGGTGCCAGCATGGGGCTTCAGGAAGACATCCTGGCCTTAGCTGTGACCAGGCACCCAGACCAGGCTTGCTGGGCAGAGGCAGCAGGAGGGAAGGCCCAGCACCCTTAGGCAGGTCCAAGACTGGGGCCAGGGATACAAAGACTGGAGCTGCAAAGGCCAAATCCCTGGCAGGCCAGAGGGGCAGGTGCGTCACTTTCTGGCTTCTCTCACTGTGCCCCTCCTTCCAGATCCCCCCTATCTATCCCCCCAAGGTCCTTGTGGCCCAGTCCCCACCCTCCACTGTGTGGATGGGAGAAAAGAGGCTGAGAAGAGACTGAGGGAGGTAAGATAAGGCCACAAACACCAAAATAACACAGGTTGCATTTCCTTCCCCCCACTCTGTGCAGGTTGTGGTGGGTGGGCTCCCAGTCTCTTAGCCGGCCACTGTGAGCAAGCCCCACCCTGTGGCCTCCCCTGGCCCTGCCTGGCCACCTAGCCCAGCCAGCCCGGTGACCTGCGCTGTTCCGGCAGCCCCAGCACAGCCCCCGTCCCTCCCTCCCTCCTCGGACAGACACGGGAGTGAAGACACGGAGCCAGAACCTGGGCGCCGGCCTGAGGGCCCCGGGCAGGCTGGGCCAGGCTGCCCCTGAGGCCCGCTGCAGGTCAGAGTTGCATACTGGAGGTCAAGGCACAAGGCTTCACCCAGCTCAGGCCTGGGTCTGCAGGTGAGTCTACTGATGCAGACATCAGAGGGTCAGAGTTGGGTTCTGCAAACTCCATCCCCCATTCAAAAAAGCAAGACTGGCTGAGAGAATTCTACAGTCCTCAAACCTGCCCACCCCAAGTTCTCTTCCCTTCTCTTGCCACAATCCCCGGAGAAAGGCCAGGAGAGAAAGAGAGAGAGAGAGAGAGAGAGGAGAGAGAGAGAGCGAGATCTCCATACCCCTTCCTCCAACCTAGCCTTTCTTCTCCAGTAATCCTGACCAGCATCCTCCTCCCCAGCCACAGAGAGGCAAGAGTCACTCCCCACTGACTCTTCCCATTTTCATTAGTCAAGGTCGCCAGCCCCCCACTGCTGGGTCAGCCACTGTCCCTCCACTGACTTGCTATAGTTGACTTTATCTTTCCAGAGCTTTCCCTCCCTAGCCATTGGGCCACTTCCCTATTCCAGTGCTCCCAGTTTGTTGGGGTTTTTTTTTCTGGGGGGGGGCTGGTTTACTCACGGAAGGTTTGTCCCAGCCATTTGAACCTTTTTCTCTAAGCCCCGCCCCCAGATCCAAGTCTCCCAAATTCTGGGGCTCTTGCTCCTTCCTTAAGACACCTAGCACAGCCTCCCGAACTCAGCCCATCAGCAGCTGAACCTACCGCAGCTGCCTCTTGTTCATTCCCTCCAAATTCAGGCTGCTCGAAGACACCCCAGACCTTGTTCTCACCGAGGACCCCCAGGCTGGGGCTAGAACATCTTTCAGGTTCACACCCTCCTGCCACCTGCTGACGGTAGCAGCTCCAGCCCCGAGTCTCTGGCATCATCAACCTCCCCCAGGGCCATCAGCATAGTCACCCCAAAGCTTTAGCCAAGACCCCCGTCTTGACAGCAGTCTGATGCTGGACACAGCATCGTGTGTCTGGGCCTAGCCTGGCAGCCACCCGTGACCAGTGCCCTGGAGCCCTCCCACAGAGACTACTGAGTGATGGCAGAACACCACGCTCATTCCTCCAGAAGCTTCCTCACTCAATGGGAGGGTGTGAACAGGAAAGCCTGCTCCCAGCTTCATAGCTACATCCCAGAGGCTCTGCTCCAACTGACCCACCACCTTGAAAACACCAATTCAGCATGGACACGCAGCCTGTACCGCCTGCCAACCAGCCGTGTGGACAACTCCATGCACCACCGCTGTCAAAAGAGCCAAGGAGCCACAGAAGGGCGTCTGCCCCTCCAGCTCCACTGTTTACAGGGTACTCCACCTGCCAGGTAGTGGGAGCCCTGAACAAATGGCCCAGGTTTCCAGGGGACCTTTTTCTGCCTTTACTCTGTTCCCCAAGAAGTCTGCACCCCTGACCAGTCCTTTTCAAGAGCACATCTGAGGGCACACATTTCCACCGAATCTCTACTTCCAAAAATTAACAGCGCCACAACCCTCCGCCTGCACTCCCAACGTGCTTCCCACCCTCCTGTCCAACCTCAGACCCCCGGAGCCCCCGCCTCCATTTCACCCAAATGAGTGTCACCAAGGAGCCCCTCTCAGCTGCACAGAGCCGCCATCCGGCTCAGAAACTCGAACCGATGGGCGTTGGCAGAGGACACCTCTGTGCTCGGTGGGAGGGGTCGCCCCCCAGGCCGGGGGCTGCAGTGAGCCAAGGGCAGCAGAACAAAGCCTGGGTGACACCTGCAGCTCCCACCCCAGTCACCACAGTGGGGGGCCTCGCACTCCAGGGTGCGGTGGTCGCCGTTGCCCTGAGGTCGAAGGGCAGCATTGACTTGGAGCTGCTAATGCAGCCCC